AAATATAAACTAGATGGTGGGATTGGTTTTCTTTAGTAAGAAGGGAAGATGTGTCCCCAGTCTCCAGGAAGTTGCCTGTGCTTGTGGAGCTCTGGGATCACCTGTAGGGGCTTTTCCACTCGACACAGCTGTTGGGGAAACATCAGAGGTGGCCACTCAGAGCAGCAGGAGCTGGTTAACCCCTGAAAGACAGGGCATCTCTTACCATGGCACAAAACTTCAGTGGCCACCCAAGCAGGAGCAGAGGTGTGTGTCCTTGGGGACTTGCTGGGTAGTGGCAATGCCAGCCCCCTGAGATTCTCACAATAGCCCCTTGCTGGGGCCTGGGAGGTAAGCTATGAGATGACAGGAACTATGTATTTCTGGGCCTCACTCTGGAGCTCTTTGGTTCATTCCTCCTTGGACGACTCAGAAGCTGAGCACCTGTGGGGCCATAAAAAGCACCTAAGATATTTCCCTAATTCTCCAGAAGCCTTGCATGAGCAACCTACTCCAGCCACCTGCCAGAAAACCAGCTGAAATCCCCACATGGCCTGACCTAGCTCTGATGGAAAGCACCTCTCCACATGACTGCTCAAAAACACTGTGCCCTGACAGCATGTAGGGGGGGGGAGTGGGGAGTGTCCCCACCAGCCTCTCAGGGGCAGACAGCCACCCTGTGCTCTAGAGTGACATGCTGGGGACATCATCTGTGCAGAGTGGTCCTAAGAGCACACAGCCTGAGTCTAACCCTTTTAAATGACACCCACCATGAGCTGGAACTGTCCCCAGTAGCCTAAGGAGTTCCCCTTAGGGCCTAGGGTAGGGATGGGGGGGGGGGGGGACTCTGCTTGGTTACAGATGGGTTTTGGCTTAACTGCAGAACAGAACTTTGCCCACTAGCCAATCCAACACTGAACTCGGTGGAGCCTGCCACCATCACCTGAGAATGTCACCTTTCCACTTGATGCCACAACCTACTCCACAAACAGGCGCTGTCCTCAGCCTTGGCCACAGAAGCTCCTCTCTGCAGTGGGCAGCAGCCAGTGCAGACTCATAACTGGCCAGAGTGCTGAGAGGAACTGCTGGACGCTCAGCCCTAAAGGAGGCATCTGCATCAACCCCCACACCATGGCCAGGGAACCTCACGGAAGAGGGGGCAGAAAGAAGGCAGGAGTGGAGGGCGGGAGGAGGATAGGGAGGAGTTCTGTGCAGCTCCCTTTCTGGCTGAGAGCTCGCTACAGTTATGTTACCTGCAGGAGACCAAGCCTACAGCAGCAGCACTAACCTGGCTAGGCTTTTTAAAAAGGGGAGCAGTGGGAGGGGAGCATTGGGGCCATCTGTGAGGAGTGGTGCAGGAGTGCAGGGCAGGCCCTTGGGGTGGGTATGATCGGGACACAGTATAAATGTGTGAAGTTGTTAAAGAACAAATAAAAGTCTAAGAGAAAGCAAACTTCATGGGAGGCTCATGCTTAGGTGAGGGAAGGGCCACACCCGAGTGCAGGGAACCTCAAGCTGACTCAAGACACCCCAAGCCCAAGTTCTCAACACAAAGATGTATCTGCCCCAGAGGGGCAGAGGGCAGGGATAAGAGACAGACAGGAGACAGGTGGAGGGAAGGGAAAGGGACCAAGGGAGGGGGAGGGGTGTTTGTCCTGGGAACAAAGGCTTCTGGATGGAGGAGGCAGGACCAAGTGCAAATGGCAGTTTATAAAGATAAAAGGGGAAGCCCTGAATTAGAATGAGGTGTTTAGTTTAATTGGGCATGTTAACTAGGGTTTTGTTGCTGGACTTTAATACTTTCATAGCTTGATCTTGGTGGTCAAATGAGGGAACAGACCTTGGGGGCTGGCTTTAGGAATGTAATCTAATGGATTTTAGCAAAGGTGGAGGGAGTGGGAGAGAAGGCAAAGGCCATGCTGTCGCTGGCTAGACCCGGGATCTCTGTAAGAAGGTTCGGGTTGTTGAGGGAGGCTTGAGCTGGTGCAACCCCTTTCCTGAAGTTTGCCCGAGACTTCCTGTGGGCACACTATGTGTACGGCTGCAGCGGGTGCCTGTAGATAAAACATAGGTAGCCCAGAGAGTGGACTACAGACTGGTTCATAAGCCAAGTTAATCTCATGGGAGGCATCTCTCAGAACCGGGGACTGTTCTACAGCAGGCAGCCTCAGTAGTGGACTCCCGGGTCAACCCAAGGAAGTGGAGCTCAGAAACAGACGTTCTGAGCTGGGTTGGGGGGGGGGGGGGTTGTCCTCTCTTCTCATGTCATCCTGCCTCAGTGCCACAACTAGACTCAGATCTATGTGACTAATGCCCAGACTCTTTCCCAGCTAAGTACTCTGGATGCCAGCTGGGGGTAGGTTACAAGAAATGAACACTCCGGGAAAAACGCCCTTGGCTGCCCTGTCATCAGCTTCCGGCTCAGTGGAGGGCTGCAGGCCTTGGGCCTCTTTCCCATAGCCCATGTTTTCTGTAATCACTTGTTTCAGACCCAGATGCTCTCCCCTAGGAACAAAATACCCATCTGACAGCCTAGGCCAGCAACTCCCATTAGACAGATTTTGAAGGTGACCATGGAGGTGGCAGATGATCTGAAACCACTGTGATGGACCGTGTCCCTGGAACATGCCTGGCTGAGAACAGAAGTACTTAAAGCGAGGCCCACGATGCACCTTCAGAAACCCAGCTTAGGCTGCAGGTGTGAGGGAGAACTGGGAAGAGAAGGGACTTCAGATAGGGAAGCAGAATCTGGCAGGACGAGGGCAGCGGGACAGAACTCTCCACTTCCCACTCCTACAATCGCCCTGGCCCTGCCAACCACCAAGGAGAAGGCAAAGAGAAAGGCCCTCATTCCTGCGGATGCACAGCCCGGACAGGCCAGGGACTGCACTGGTGTGATAGAAACTGGGAAAGGAGGCCGAATCTGGACTAGGGTTGGAATTTAGTATCCACCACAAACGTGCCCACTACCCAAGACCAATGACTCGGAAACCTCAGAAGGGTCAATGAGGCTCAACAGGAATTAACAACACTCCCCTCCAAGCTGGGGTGATGCAAGGCCAGCAACATTCCTTCCAGTTAGGAAAACCACAAATTGTCTCCAGACACTGCCAAATGTCCCCCCAGGAACAAGAGCCCCTACATGAGGGCTGTTGCAGTAGAGAAAGAACAATTGCAAACAACCATTCCCTTCCCTCCTCCATAAGAGGAAGACCAGTTTGCCAATATGGAGTCAAGCTACAGTCAGAGTTTCAATCTTAGTGACCATGTAAACCCAAATAGAAAACTACACTGTGTATTCTAGTGAAAGAAAAACTCAAAGACATAAAGAAAATTGGAGAAAACAGACAAGAGTAAAAGGCTCGGGGTAATAGCAACAACGAAGTCAGCTCTGTAGGTCCTTGAGCTGACACATCCACCGAGGGTTCCCACATGTGTGACTCGAATGCCAAACATGAGGCCACAGCTAACTACTTGAGGTCTTGACTCCCAAACCCAGTGTTTTCAGGAGTGTCCCTAAAGTATGTCCACATCATGACTGTATGAAAATGAACATTAGAGCGCGCGCACACACACACAAAATTTTTTACACTCCAATCCTAGTTCCCCCTTCCTCCTCTCCTCCTGCTCCCACTCCACCTTCCATCTGCTCCTCAGAGAGGGCAAGGCCTCCCCTAGGAAGTCTAAGTCTGTCCCATCATCTAATTGATGCAGGACCGAGGCACCTCTCCACCCCACACCCCAGTGTCTAGGCTGGGCAAGGCATCTCTCCATATAGAATAGGCTCCACTGAGTCAGTTTGTGCATTAGTGTTAGCTCTTGGACCCCCTGCCAGTGACCTCATATATTGTCCCAGTCACACCATTGTCACCCATATAAAGGGAGTCTAGTTCGGTCTTATGCAGGTTCCCCATTTGTCAGACCTGAGTCAGTGATCTCTCACTAGCTCGGGTCAGCTGATTTTGTGAGTCTTTCCATCATGGTCTTGACTCCTTTGTTCATATGATCATTCCTCCCTCACTTCGATTGTACTCCAGGAGCTTGGCCCACTGGTTAGTTGTGGATTTCTTCATCTGCTCCCATCTGTTTCTGGAAGAGGGTTCAAGCTTCTCAGGGGTGATGGATTGTAGGCTGGGTATCTTTTGCTTTATCCACTTATGAGTGAGTACATACTGTATTTGTCTTTCTGATTTGGGGTTACCTCACTCAGGATGATGATTTTTTTCTAGTTCTGTCCATATGCCTGTGAATTTTAGGATGTCATTGTTTCTTACTGCTGAGTAATACTTCATTGTGTAAATGTACCACATTTCCTTTATCCTATTCTTCAGTTGAGGGGCATCTAGGCTGTTTCCAAGATCTGGCTATTACAAATAATGTTTCTATGAACATAGTGGAGCAAATGTCCTTGTGGTGTGAATGTGCTTCCTTTGGATAGATGTCCAACAGTGTTATTGCAGGGTCTTGAGGTAGGTTGATCCCTAATTTTCTGAGAAATCACCATACCGATTTCCACAGTGGTTGAACAAGTTTGCACTCCCATGAACAATGGAGGAGTGTTCCCCTTTCTCCACATCCTCTCCAGCATAAGCTGTCATTGGTGTTTTTGATCTTATCCAATCTGATCAGTGTAAGATGGCATCTCAGAGTGGTTTGATTTGCATTTACCTGATGACTAGGGATACCGAGCATTTCCTTAAGTGTGTTTCTGCCATTTGAGATGTTCTGTTGAAAATTCTCTATTTAGATCTGTACCCCATTATTTAATAGGGTTATTTGGTGTTTTGGTGACTAGTTTCTTGAGTTCTTTGTATATTTTGGAGATTATCCTTCTGTTAGGTATGGGGTTGGTGAAGATCTTTTCCTCTTCTGTAGGGAGCTGTTTGGTCTTCTTGACTGTGTTCTTTGCTTTCAGTTTCACACTCACACGTTACCATTTTATTAAACCAGCTTTAAAATGTATGATGTTCTGGTGTGTTTAATTTTCTTTTGAGTTCACTATACTAAAAACAAAACAAAAACCCCATAGAAAACATTTTAATATCTTAGAAAAATTAGCAAAAAATTAAGAAAGTTGAGCATATTACATTGTACAATGTTTAGATAAGAATGCTTGAAAATTATAAATATTTTGTTCCTTCTCAATACAGCAGATTCCAAAACAGATTTTAAAATGTTTTTCATTCACAATTCCTGCAGATAATATTATCTCTAGCTGATTACAGAGAACATGCAGACAGGCACTCCTAACGTTTCCTGTAGCTATTACAGAGACAAGGCGAGGGGTCGACAGGCACTTAGCTGAAGCCACAGCAAGGATCAGGAGAGGCCCATGAGCATCCAAGCATCTGCCCAAAAGGGAGTCACGGAGTCCACATCTGTACTGTCTTCTTTATCACTGTTTAAAAGGACTTTCTTGTCCATTCCACAGCACTGCAGAAGTCGGTGTCTACAGACTGCAGATACCTCTGCACAGCCCCCATACAGTGCTGCATGCCCTGGAAGCAGGCTTGCACCCAGCCAATGAGGGTCGTGGCCACTGCAGGCCCTGTGTTAAAGGAAAGTCAGGCTGAAGGAAGAATGAATGTTCTGGCAGCCAGGGCAAGGCAGTCCCTTCACCTCAGCCTCCCCTGGACTCCCAGGCCCCCTGCTTCCATCCAGACAGTTCACACCAGTCAGTACCTTCTTGCAGTTTCTTTTCCTCATTCTCTCCAGGGTCACTGAAGTCCCCTAGGAGACATCATTAAGCCACTGGGGAGGCCCTGGTCCCCACCTGATAGCCCAGCAGCAAAGACAAGAAAATACTGGTGAGTGAGATGAATGGATGGCCAGGCAGAAACACACACCCAAGTCAGCTACTCAGCTAGGAAGGTCCATGACACAGTGATATTCTGCATACAAATCTAAACTTTATGAAGGCAACTATAAACATTAAATAAAATTACAGTCATTAAGCAGCCCAAAATCTTAAGAAAAATTTATAAGACTTCCATTGGCAAATGTCTTCCAGTCATAAAAGGTAGAGATTTATGGAATTCTATTCAGTCCGTATGTAAATACCAGGAACACTGAAATCTATCTCTAGATTTGCACACGTCTGGAATGGCCTCCTCTCTGCTCCAAGACAAAACTGGACCAGGACACTCAGGGTCCTCTGCTGTGTTACTGAATTCCGCCTTTTCTGTAACTTGGAAACCACCTTGCTGTTTACAACAGGCTGTGCAGGGAGTCACTGCACTTAAAGACACCAACCAGTGCGGGAAGGCTTACTATTCTCAATCCCAGACCAGACTACAGGTGAAAACCTTCCTCGATACACTCAAAAAAGAAGCCTAGGAACCATGGCCTGGTCACCCATGGAGGAGAGAAAAGCAGAGACACAGTCCTAGCTTGGCTGAAGCAAGGGCTTGCCACCATCCCGAGACACTTTACATGTACCCAGCCCACGTACTGTCAGCTTCCCACTGCGTCCACATTTAACCTCACAAACTACCCAATCGCCACTGGTCGCAAGTCAGCCCCTCTACTAGTCAACAACGTGCACTCGTGGACCAGGGGGCGGGCGGCAGAGACACTGGGCCAAGATAGGTTTTGCTTTGAAGTGAGGGGAGAGGAAATGCAAATGAAGCATGCCATGGGCAGATGGCCAGGTCCATCACAGCACCAGCAATGAGAGCTTGTGTCACCTGACAGGGAAAAGCAAACAGGCCAGCAGAGGAGACACACTGTCGGAGGAGGCAGCGGCTGCAGGGCTGCAGAAGGCGACAGGGAAGGCGGCCCCAGCCACACCTGTGCCAATGTTCTCGCCCAGGAAAGCTCAGACAGCCCTAGAAGGTAAATACAGCGTTCTCAACATGTGGACCCCGCTGGAGTCCCGAGGGAAGACAGTTAGAAGCAGCAAAGCCAGTGTCCTTGTCCTGGGCATGGAGCTCGACTCCTCACTGATGTGACTGGCCTGGGGTGGCCACTGGGAGAGCTGTCACTCCGTGGTCTTCTTCTCTTTCCAGCTCTTCTCTCTCTCCTCAAGCTCTGCCTGGGTGAATGCTGCAGGTCCCCAGTTGGTGATCAAGTGAGGATTCTTTGAACCTAAGCAACAAGGATGTCTTCAATTCAGGTACTTCCTCCACACTTGTCATCACTCCAGGGACAAAACAACCTTTCTACTTCACTCTGAGAAATGCACAAAAAGGCCCAAAAGAGCTGCAAGATACATGCAGGGAGGTCACCTGGGGCCACTGACTAAGGAGGACAAGCTGTTCAAGAGAGACTCACAGGAAGCAGCTGGCCTTCAGGGTGACTCTCTACCCCCATCCCCCCGTAGGGTCCCTGGGACCACAAATGTCCGTGTCCCCATCCAGGCTTTGATGAGGGTTCCGAGGACCTGAACTCAGGCGGCCGGGCCTGCAGAGCAAGGGCTTCACCCTGTGAGCCATGTCAAGGGTGACCCTGCTCTTCAGTTCCAAGTGCAGGGTTACAGGCGCGTGCCCCTACCCCCAGTTTTATATGGTGCGATGCATAGAAGCAAGGGCTTTGTGCCCCTAAGATAGGTGTTCTTAACACAACTCACATAAATACAACAGAAAGCACATTAAAGTAGACCATATAGATATATAAAATTACCTGGTTCTATCAATCGTATTAACCCCTCATGATGGGCCACTTTGTCCTTCCAGCTCTTCGTCATATTCGTTGCCATCTCTAGCTTCTTTTTAACTCCCTAGAACAAAAGTGGCAGTTTAAGAACCAAGTAGTGTGGGCTGGCACCTATTGTATACCTGTGGGTCCCCTGGTTAAATGGTCAGAATCACTCTGGGAGGAGGAGCTGCCATCGCCACTACCACACATTAGCAAAAACTCAGGCTCAGAGAGCTAAGCATCTGCCGAGGGTCACATGCGGGACGCAGGGCTGGTAGCCAAGCCAGCTGATTCCAAGGCTCTTCTCACCTCGTGCACATGACCTCAGGACCCTACGCGTCAGCTGACTGCCTCTCTGCTCCAGGCTGCCCTTTCCCAACCTGTCTTGTTGCTATATTGACTCTCACTATAGCTGGCAGTCCCAGCTTCAACAACAGGATCTGAAGGACAGGGAGGAAGGGGCTGTTCTCTGTGCTGCCACTCACTGGCGACAGCCATGGTCACGGTGGCTTGAATGAGAATGGCCCCCACAGACAGCTGGTGGGACTGTTTGGGGAAGGGTTAGGACAGTGACCTTGATGGAGGAGCTGTGTCACTGGGAATGGACTTTGAGGTTTCGAAAGGACTCATGGCGTTCCAGTGTTTTTCTGCCTTGTGCTTTCAGATCAAGATATGACCTCAGCTTCTCCTGCCTCCATTCTCCCATCATGGACTCTCACAACCAAAGCCCTAAGTCCAACGGAACACTTTATTGTCATAAGTTACCCTTCCAATGAGGTGTGACCTCGGCTGGGTGCTCCACCTCAGGGAGGTAGGCTGCTGACTAGACCTGTCACCCCCGTGGTTCTCAGAGTTTGTTCTACAGCTTGGTGGGGACTCTCTGTCACAGTCTGTAACCGTGCAAACTTCCCCACTCATGCGCCTCTGTGGTCCCCAAGTGGACCAACACCCCCATCCTTTCTTCTCTATGCTAAGAAAGATCCCGCTAAGTGGATGCAGGGGTTTTGCGTTTGTTTGCAAGCCTCTGCAGAGTGGGGCAGAGCCCCACCTCCACCGCAGCTGATCAGTTTCTAGGGAGCCAGTCACAAGTGTGTGCAGGGGAGTCCAGCCACCTCATACTGCTCCAGCGCCTGTTTCCGCTCCAGCTCCAGCTGTTCCAGCTGCGCCATGGCCTCCTGAAGAGCCTGCTCCTTCATGACTCGCTGCTGCTCCAGCTCCTGCTTCTCGGCCTCTGTCATCTGAATGGCCTGCTGCTGTGCCAGGTGCCACTTTTCCAACTCAGCTCGCTTAGAAGACTCTTCCTCCAACAACCTGTAATGCAGAAGAGACCCAGGTCACATCCTGCTGGGGACCCCCCAACCCAGATGGGAAAGCAGTCATCTTAATGCCTGACCCCCATTTTATAAGGAGCTGGGAGCCAAAGGAGTCTATCACGAAGTTAGGGAGTAGCCCACGTATCCTGCTGTAAGTGTCCTGAGTCTTACCCCCTCTATGCAGGAAAAAGAAATTACCATTTAGGCAGCACTGAGTGTGTGCCAAGAACTGAGTCAAGTGTTTTCCCCACTGTTTCACGAAGTGCACGTAAGAGCCATTAGTGGTCACACTTGAGATGACGAAGGGGGACCTTAAGCCATCTACCTGCCAGGGGATGGGGCCAAGCTCTGCAACTTGCTTGGTTGCTACAACGTTAAAACATTTCTTCATCTACCAAAGACCCATTACCAACAATCCAGGAGATGTAGCCCCTCCTCACAGATGAAGCAATGTGTCTGCACGTGCATTGCACAGAACACAATGGACTTGAACACATATGTGTGACTCCAAAAGTGTTAGCTGTATTAACAGCCTGGCTTGGACTAGTCGACTGTATTCATATTTAAATAAATAAACCAACACACGGGCCAAACCCAAATTCAAGATGCAGACAGTATGGTCAGGACATAAATCTAACAAGGAGCCACACAGAGTGAAGTCACATGGTAGGGCAGCCACTGCCACCTGCAGCATCTGCTCTCTACAGCAGCAGCAAGGAAAGAGACTCAGCCTCTCCCTGGAGACACATTCGGGCTCCTGAGAAGTCTCCTGGAATACAGCGACCACCACGGAGCCCAGCACTGCAGTCTGACGTGCACAGCTCTTCAGTGTGCACCTGTGACGTGTTCCTCTGGGGATAACCAGTGAGGGAGGCTGCAAGACCTCTGTGTTTGCACAGTGGTGCTGGTGAACAGAGGGGCAGTAGGCCTTCTGGGGGCCCAGCGGCTGGAGAATCAGCACAGTAGGGTCTTGTGCGAGGTGGACCCCATCTCCCAGAACTGATGCCACCTTCAGAACATGCCCTTGGCAGCAGAGTATGAAGACCCGAGCTTGGCAAAGCAGTTGTTCTTCCTGATGCAAAAGCAGTTGACACAGAACCAGGGACAATGGAGATTCTCTCTTGCGGTGGCAGGGGCAGCAGCAGTCCTGACACCTACGGCCGGCCGTGTCCCTGGCAGCCCTAGGCCCATCCCCCTTGTTTCTGCCACTCTTCAATGCCTGGCCACCCTCCCTCCGTGGGACCGGAGAACTATTTAAGAACACTCCTGTAAATCATCTTCTTGTCTTCCCTCATCCAAGTTGGTTTCTGTGGTTTGCAAATTAACCTCGGACTAAAGACTTGAGCATCTCCATCCTCTATTTCTCAGCTTCCTGAGAAACAAATTTTAGAGAAAGAAACCAGCCAAGTACGTGCACTTACATGCCTGTCATCACTGCCGCTCAGGAGGCTAAAGCAGGAGAATCAGCTGTGCGTTGCTGTAAGGGTGCTGGGACTTGAACCCTGGCCCCCCACAAGAGCAGCAAGTGCTCTTAACCAATGAGCCATCTCTAGCCCCTCTACTTGTTTTTCTGATATTTTCTTGGCCTAACACTCTCATTCTAGCATTTCTTCCAACATTTTCTTAATTCTGTACATAATGTATCTTCCCCATCTGTGAGGAGATAAAAGAACAGAAAGCTGCATGCAGACTTTATGCTAAAACACTACAACATCTGCAATACCTAGCCTCATCTTCACAACTCTAAAGCTGGCCATCACCCTTATTTTACATATAAAAACTAAGCCTTTAATCCCAGCACTTGGGAGGCAGAAGCAGACCGATCTCTGCAAATTTGAGGCCAATCTGGCCTACAGAGGACAGCCAAGGCTACACAGAGAAACTCTGTCTCTTGAAAACAGAACTACAAGTTTGACATAGTAAAATACTACTTTAAACTCATATAGACTAAAAGTACCACAAACAGGAATTAAGTAGCCACGCCTCACCTGCGAACTCAGGCCCTAGCTGTCCTCAAACACGTGAAAAGCGTTGCAGAAGCTGGAAGGGAGGCAGCAGTGCACACTATCCACCAGGTACACGAGGACCCTTTCAGCCATTCAAGAATTATTCCCAGGCCTGAGAGGTTGCTCGGGTGGTATCGAGTGCTTGTCCAGCTTGTACAAAGCTCAGGGTTCAATAGCTAGTAATCTTTATGGTACATGTCTGTAATCCAGCACTCAGGAGACAGAGACAGGATGATAGGGAGTTCAAGGTCAGCTACAGATAGATAGCAAGTCTGAGGACAGGCAGGGATATGAGACACTTCCTCAAAAATAATAGTCGTAATTCCCTGGGCACTTAACTAACTCACCATGTGCTGGGTACTGCCCTAGCTGCTGGGAATGCAGACATGAGTGAGATCCAAACTTGGTTGGCTGGCTGGACTTCTGAGATGGGCCTTATATAAACAGAGCAGGGTGGCCTCAAACTTGCAGTGGTCCTCCTGCCTCGGTCTCCTGAGTGCTGGAATTACAGGCATGCACTACCATGCCTGGCTCCAATCTAAAACTCTAATGAGGAAAGTTAAAATGAGATAGATTATGGCTCAGCTTCCAGAACTTCCCAACAAAATGTTAAAAGTTTCCTTTTAAATTTTTATCAGATAATCTTCAGAATTATATATTAAAAACTAACCGTCTAGCTGGGCAATGGTGGTGGACACCTTTAATCCTAGCACTTGGGAGGCAGGGACAGGGGGAATCTCTGATTTTGAGGCCAGCATCGTCTACAAAATAGGTTCCAGAAAAAGAAAAACAAATAACAAATTTCAAGCCAGCTATGGTGGCACACACCCTTAGTCCCAGAGAAGGTCGAATCTGTGAGTTTGGACCTCTAGTCCACATACCAATCTCCAGGCCAGCTGGGGCTACACAGTGAGATCCTGTCTTAAAAACACAAATCAACTTTAGTTTAAAGACAAAAATAGTTGAATATGCATATGGCCTTTCTGCTGGTCCTTCTAGCCCATTCCATGCCTTTGTGCCACAGGGTGCAGACTCTGTAAACTCACCTCACTTCAGCTTCCTCTCACCCTCTCACGGGTGGAACTGTGATGAGGCACTTCCTGCCCCTGCCACCATGCTGTGCCTTCCCAACAATAACTGACTCTCCCTCTGTACCACAAGCCAAAGGAAACCCCTTCCCCCAAGCTGTTTTTATCATTAACGAAACAACAGAAAAGTCACCACTGCAGAGAGCATCGTCACTGCACACAGGAGAGCTGACACTTCAGTGAATTTCTGAGTTCTCTGGTCTTCTGCCACTTAATCTCAATTCCCTCCAAGATGACTGAAACACAGCGTGCCTTCCTTCCCTGTGGACTCTGTGCATAAGAGTAATCTAAGAACTCCCGGCACAGAACTAATCAGCGGCTCAAAATATGTCTGGTATCGCTCAGAGTGCTGCTCTTTGAAAGTGATACAGGATTCGCACCTTCTCCCAAATGACCTGCTAATGCCACTGTCAACAGCATCAGCCGCAGCTCCACGTAGCTGGCAGCTCCACGTAGCTGGCTGGGGCCACTCTGGAGTGGCTTCTCTCCTGCCATCTTTATTCGGGTTCCGTAGATTGAACTTGGGTTAGCAGCACGTGGCTTTTAATTCCACTTGTTTGTTTTATGTGTGGCTACACACCAAAGTGCGCATGGGAAGATTCAACATCAATTCTCGGGCCTTGGTTTTCTCCTCCCACCACGTGGGCCTCAGGGATCGGACTCAGGTCATAAAGCCTGACTGCAAATGACTCCACCCACCAAGCCATCTCTCCAGCCCCGTCACTTTTGGCAAACTCCCTTTCCCAGTTTGTTTTTCTATTTTTAATATTTTAAGAAATTCTTACTGTGTGTATGTGTATTAGTGTGTGTGCTATGGCATGAGTGTGGAGGTCAGGGGACAGCTCTGGCTGGCAGGGATGGAACTCACGGGGACAAGCATCTTTTACCTGCTGAGTCTCCTCATTAGTCCTTTCCTTCTCATCCCAAGGTTTAAACAGCATCTTTTGCTTCTCTCCATGAAAACTGGCAGCTATACAGATTCTAACGGCTCACCTTCTGAGTGTTCCCTAACACAGCGAGAGGGTGCCACAGCTCAAGGCCCAGGGACATCCACACTGCCTCCCACAAGGGATCACAAAGAAGCAAATGGGACAGCAGGCTAAACCAGGTCGGCCCCTCATCACTCTGGGGTCCTCATTTTACTTTGTTCTCTGGGATGTTACAAAGACCCAAAGCAAAATTTTCTCTGAGAATATGAGTATCACAACTGTAAACCTGATTTACAAATACCAATCCCATGCTGCCAAAAAGAGAGTGTGTATTCCCTCATTATTCACAATACCTCTGTCATGCCTGCCCTTGCACCAAGGGTCACTCGGGCCTGGACAGTGACAAAACCAAGTTTCCACCAAAGCTGACTTGGCTTACAGGCATTTTAGAATAGAATAAGCAAACACAGCCCCACATTGCTCTCAGCCACAAGGCCCTTCTTTAGACCCTCAAGTGAATCAGAAGACATCCAGCCAGCCCAACACCCAGAGTCCCTGGACAACACGTGGGCTCGGGCTTCCTTTCTGCCAGTGTTAGAATCCAGAGCAAACAAAACCGACAAGGGCGAGGGCTACCGAGCAGTCTGCACCTGGCCTGAAGCTTGCGCACTGTCTCCTCATCCTGCCGGGCCTGCCTCTCATCCTCAAGGGCTTCCTGCAGTTTTAGGTACATGGCTTCCAGCTCCCGAACTCTCTGGAGATACTGTTCCAGTTCTGAGGACTTCTGGGCAACCTGCTCCTCCATCTGCTGTCTGATCTGGAGGGATGAGAGAACCACACACAGTCTTGCTCAAATGCAGGCGACTTCTTCCCTAGGGCAAGGCCCATCCCACCTCTACCCTTGAGCTAAGGATGGAGGAAATGAGGACATATACCCAATCAATACCAGTGCTAGGAGTCCAAGAAAATAAACTACAACCCAAAATCTGCATATGTTCTGTCCTTTGTACTCTATATATTTTTACTCAAGTCAAGATTTATTTATTTGTGTTTTTGTTGTTGTTTTGAGACAGGGTTTCTCTGTGGATAGCTTAGGAGCCTGTCCTGGAACTCGCTCTGTAGACCAGGCTGGACTGGAACTCACAGAGATCCACCCACCTCTGTAATTCCTCTTTAAATTCTTTTCTATTTTAAAATCAGAACCTCTTTGGCAAATTTTAAGGGTGAGCAGAGCGGCCCATGATGAGGTAGGTGAAGTCCCACTGCCTCTGCCTCCTTCCCCGTCCCTGGGGCACCAGTACCTAACGAGTGCCTGGATATCCCTTCTGCATTGAAGAGGCGTTAACCCCTGTCTTAAAAAACAAACAAACAGGGCTGGAGTACAGTTTACTGTAGAGTTTTTATGTAGCATGTGTGAGACATAGGGTTCAATCCTCAGGGCCCTGACACACATACTATCACACATTTTGGTGTATGTCTCTGCAGTTTATGAATTATGTCACTGTATTCTCAGGAGAACCCTGAGAGCTGACAGAATGACCTCTAATGCAGGAAGCACAGAGCAAGGAGGAAGGGCAGCTGGGTAGCCTCACACACATCACACTCGCCTTCCTCAACACAAACAGGGATCTCGCCTCTGAGCAACATCGGACCATGGTCAGGCAACTGGGCTCAGCACAGCGGTGCCCCATGGGAGATGTGTGTGCCAATAACCAGCTAACTCCACAAAGCAGCCTGGACCTTGCCATGGCCAGAAGAGCAACCAGAGCCACGGCCTCGGTGTTCACTTTGCTCATTATGGAGGAGAAATGCTGTGAATTTAGGGTTACGTTCTCACAGCTAATCACTGTCCAAACCAGAGTCTTTTGAGAATGAAAAAGATCCTGATTAGCATCATCGTGGGATGACAGACACACGTCAAAGAAAGAAGACATGTTAACCACATTAACCAAGCGTTTGTGACTGCGCTACATACGATTCTGCTCAGGGGTCTGCAACATAAGGTGTCTACCCTTTACCTCTACCCCTCTGATACACACACAAACACAGCTCCCCCAGTAGCCACCACATATCACAGCAAAGCTTGGACACAGCAGCCGCCAGCCTTCCTTTAGCAGGCACAGCAGGTCTCAGCCTTACCAGCTTCTCCCGTTCCAGCTCGGTGCTGAACCTGGTCTGGAGTTCCACTTGAGTCTGCAGACGCTTCTTTTCTTCATCTGCAGCACGAGATGCTGCTTCCTCCAGTTTCTAATCAATCGATCAAAAAGCCACCCCCAGAAAAGCAGGATCATTATATTGGAAGATAAAGCCTTGCTTAAGCATATGAAAAGAGCCAGTCAATAAAAAGTAAACACGGCTGTGAACACCCTGGAATGCCATCCAGTCTTCCCCATCAGCATATAAAACAAGCAGGTATGAATGACTTGATTCTAAACCCTGTGCAGAGATGTGAGGGCGGCCACTGAGCCATAATCTCTCGGACAGTTTGACCTAGTTCAGGGGCTGTCTGACGGTATCGTCACTTAGTACACCCACTATTCCTCCCACTGTTACCAAGGCTCAGCTTCCAGGTGGGTGACACAGGGCGCTTCCTCAACCCCCACTCCCACCCCCTCACACACAACCGGTTAATGAAATTATTTTAAAGAACAGAACCAAACACGGTAAAGGTTTACAGACTATCCTAAGGGCATACACCAAAGGAGAATAGTCATCTGAGAAAACGTATGAGGGGCTGGGGCTGGGGCTGGGGCTTGGTGGTAGAGTGCTTACCCAGCATGCACATGGCACCAGAGTTGATGCCACCCTCAAAAACAAAATATAAACAAGAACACAGAAAACAAAACAGCAACAAAAGACAGTCAACTGGATCTTGGGCCTTTCAGGCATAGGCACTCCCATCTGCCACTCCTGGCAGATGAAACCAGAGACAAGAGCGCCCTCTATATGCTGCTCACATCCCAGGCTACAAAGCAGGCAGGGTCTCACTTGCTGGGTAAAAGCTCCACAGGAGAAGATGGGTGACAGCAGGCTGTGTCTCTGCTTGGCAGCAGAGGCTCTTAAAGCAGGAGTATAGATCCAACAGACTGGTGCTGCTGTCTCCAACCAAGGAAGCCTCCTGCCTCAGCTCCCAAGCCGTCACACACACACCCAGCCTTTCCTGGAGGTTTTGTTCAAGGTTAGTAGGCTCTGTGGCTCTCACCAAAAGAAGTGTCTTGGTTATGTGTGATGTACAAGTCTAAGGCACAGTTGAAAACAATAAAGATTTGGGCCACAGGAATTAAAAGGAGGCTGGCAGCACCACACAGCAAACCAACCAGACTAGGTAAGCCTGACAGAACCAGGAAGGCTGGCTAAGCAGAGCCCTCATGTGGTCAAAACAAGTCTCAAAGACTGAACTCAACCCCAGACTGTGAGCTGGTTAGTTCTGAGGTCACTGCACAAAACAGATCAAACATCCAGAAATCAGTGAACTCTAGCAGTTAGGGATGACATCGACAAACGTAGACAGCCTAACAGGGAGGAGAGAAGGAGAGCAGCTTGGAGGGTCATTCCAGGTGACTGTGGCCATGCATAGCCACGGCTACATCTCTGAGGAGCAGACTGAAAGGCCACAAGGGTCCAGGAAATACTCCAGCCAAGTCACTAAACAAATAACCAAACAAGGACAAGCTGAGGGCAGGGGTGTGAGGATCAGCATCCACAGTTCCTATAACATGTTATCTTCTAAAACATCCAAAAAAAGTACGAGAAACAGGAAAGTGTAACCCATAAGTAGGAAGAAACAGTAAAACAGATACTGCCTTTGAAGAAGCCCAGGAGGCACAGCTACAAAGCCATTACTGAGCATGCTAACAAAGAATAAAAGGAAGTCACGGCTAAAGACATAATGGAAGGAATAACAATACCCACCGAGCAGAGAATACCAACAAAGAGGCAAATTTAAAAGAGCCAAATGGAGCTGGCAGGACTGTGATGTTCAAGAATGGAATGAAGTCTTATAGAAGGATGGGGCTACGGCTCACCTGGAGAGCCTTCAGGAAGCCAGGGAGCTGTTGGACAGAACGTAAGGGTGAAAGGGGAGAAAAAGTATTTGAAGAAAGAAATAGACGGAAACTTTACCCAACATAATGGAAAGCCTTGGTTCACAATTCTAAATAGGTCAAAAAAAAAGGAAAAAGAAAAAAAAAGAAAAGAAAAGAAAAAAGAAATGTTTCCCAAACAGGGGCAAGAGAATCTCGTCTACACAGCCAGCTTTGGGCCAACCAGAGCTGCTGCACATTGAGACCCTATCTTAAAAACAACAGCAGCACCCACAAACATGGCAGTGAAAAACCACTGAAAGACAAAAAGGCCTTGAGTGCAGCAAAACAATAGGGCCTGCAGTAAACAGCACAGCTGACTTCCTCTCAGAAACACATGACTAGTTCTAGACAAAGTAGCCTGTGAAGCTGAAATACACCATAGCTGACTGCAGCAAGTAACTGGCTAGCCCTAGAAGCAGAGTGAACAGCACCACTCAAGATGGTGGTTTTTACATCAGCACAGCCTTCCTGACTACAGATCTAGCTCGGCTTCTACTCAGTTCTGCTTCTGTATGTGTGTCCTACAGAGCGATCAGAGCACATGTGAACATGCATAAAAATGGGTCAAGTCTACACCCTACAGGACCATCTAATAAGGACAAACGGGACAGTAGGGACAGCTGAGGGCTTTAGTAGGCCCAGAGCTGGACACACTTCCTGAGAATTCAGGTCACCAAACCTGTCCCTGAACTTATCTTAACGTAGGGTGGGTGAAGCGAAGTTCCTAAGGCTGTGTAGCTTCAGTACTGAATGGGACAGTGTTACCCTTGCCGTGCCCCGGCCTCTCTGTCCTACCTACCTTCCTCACACTCTCCAGTTCCTGTTGCTTGTTCTCATTGGCGGCTTGGAGCTCCTTCATCTGCCGTTCCAGCTCCTCCTGCTCTGCTAGCAGCTTCCTTCGGAGCTCTTTCCGACGCTGGCGGGCCTCCTTGTGTGGCGGGGGGCTGCCCAGCTTCAACAGATGAACAGTAGAATGGATGGCTAGAAGGACAGGAGAAAGAGGAGCACTGTACTTTTACATGTAGCACTCGAGTGATGGGGTGAGACATGAGCACATTCTGGTCCTGCCAGTGAGCAGAGGTGTGGCCTGAGAGGCATCTGCTTCTCCAGCTCCCACATGAGGAGTATGCTCATTGAGGTCTCTTCCACGTGCAGGTGCACACCTGTGCTTACAGACACTTCATTGGGAACACTTAAGAATTTATGACACAGCTGTGCGGTGGTGGCATATTTCTTTAGCCCCAGCAGGCAGATCTCTGTGTTCAAGGACAGCCTGATCCTCAGAGTGAGTTCTAGGATAGGCATGGCTACACAGAGAAACCCTGTCTGGAAAAACCAAAACAAACAAAAAACAATGTACAACACATTCATCTCCCTTCCACATACTTTCTTCAAAATCACAGCAACCCTGCTGTCTTTGGTTACCAAGTGTTAATACTACGCTAATGCCTGGTCCTTTTCTACTCCTAAATAAGGACTGGCAAGATGACTCAGCAGGTAAGTCTGGAGACCATCTGATCCTTGGGACCCATAGGTGCCCGTACAAACAAATCATGGGTACTCACACACAAGCAATAATAACAAATAGTTTTTAAAAGCCAAATAAAACTAAGGCACATGCTGGGCGGTGGTGGCTCAGGCCTTTAATCCCAGCAAATTCAAGAGCAGCCTGGTCTACAGCGCTAGTTCCAGGACAGCCAGGGATATACAGAGAAACCCTGTCTCAAAAACACAACAAAACAAAACAAAAACCTAAGACACACTAAGGGGCATACAACCAAAGTTCCTATCTGATGTGCAGTCTGCTACCCTGATTCTGTCTTCATCTATCTGTATGTGACCTTTATACATATTGCAGTCATTGCCATTTATTGAAAATCTACACCCATAAGACACATGCATATCCCAGATGCACAGCATTTACATACATACATTTCATGAAAAAAAAAATCTCTTTTCTGTTTTTCTTAGATTTATTTTATGTATGAGTGTTTTGCCTACATGTCTGTGTGTACACTATATATGTATATGATGCCCAAGGGTCAAAGGAGGGTCAGATCCCCTGGGACTGAAGTTAAGGATGGTTGTAAACCACCATGTATATATTAGATGTTAGACCCAGGTCCTCTAGAGGACCAGCCAGTTCTCTTAATCACTGAGCCATCTCTCTAGCAACTTTTCTGGTTTGTTGAAACAGAATTTAACTCTGTAATCAAGTTGACCTGAACCTATTAAGTAACCCCGACTGACTTCAAACTGACAGCTATCCACTGCCTCTGCCTCCTGGGTGGGGGGGATCACAGGCACAACCATTTAATGTCTTCAACCATTTAAGTTTAATTTCTTGGATTACTAATACCTAATGTTCAAATTCAAGAAGCATGAACAGACATTCAGGAAAGTCTCTGCCTATGCCTCTCCTCCAAGTTCTAGGTTCCTGGCCATCAGCAACTAATGCTGACCATTTCTGTTTCTTCTGAGATATTTTAAGCAAATGGACATGTCTACACATCATTCACTTCCTTGCATGCTAGCACAATGCACTCTCCTCAAGTTATTGGTTTCTTGGGCTACTTAAAAAGCTCTTGAAGTATTCAAAACCACTTCACACATTCCTTCTCTGCCTTGTACATGAACAGAATCTCAAGATGATCGCTAAAGTTTTTCATAAGCCTAGGGGAGGGGGGAGTAACCCTTTCAAGGATTAGGGTAATAAGACCTAAAATGCAATTTTATCTCCACAAAGTCACTATGTAAATATATTGACCAAAAAAGGAGGAACTCATGTTTCTTTGGGTTTTCTTTCGAATATAGCAATAGCCATGACATAAGGAAACAACACTGTAAGAGTCTTCTGTAAGATTTGAAAACAGAAAAGTTAGAACACTCATCCTTTTGTGTGTTTTTTATATTTTTTAGGCAGGGTCTAAAGTAGCCCAGGCTGGCTTGGAACTCCTGTGTCCTCCTGTGTCCACCCAAGTGCTAAGATGAAAAATGTGTGCCTATGCCCAGTTCTGCTTTCAAGTTTTTTCACGGAAAACAATTAAAAATGTCCTACCCTGAATCCACTCTTGTTTCTTCTTCTTATCTGAAGCACTGATTTCAAAGGTCTTCTCAAAGCATTTTATTAGGAAAAGACACTTCTTTCCGTCTTTGTCAGGCAGAGACTAAAACAAAAAGCATGATCAGTTCTTCAAAATGTTATTTTTCCTTGTGTTAGATTATTTAAAAGAAGCTGTAGAGAAAAGGCAGAAAGACGACTGGTCTGACCTTGGGTAAGACCATGTTTATTCAGGGTGAGATGACATCTTTGTTACCCCCACAGAGAAAGATAGGATGTGGCCTCTTCTAGGGGTGGAAATGACTTCCACAGTCCTCAACAGAAGCTGGGAAGTGTAGCCCTTCAGCAGAAAACCATCCGTTTACAGAGACAGGGTCTCACAATGTAGACTAGGCCAATCTTGAACTTTCGACCCTTCAGGCCCAGCTTCCCAAGTGCTAGGATTATAGGCATGTGCCACCACACCCAGCTTAAGTTTCTTCTTACCCATTTCAAGTCATTTCTTAACTATTTATACAAATATAACTGAAACTCAATGCCAGTGAAAAACACCTACAAATGCAAATGTATGATTTACTAATGCTGCGTCCCAGGCAGCCTCATGATTACAATGACCCCTGAGTGGAATGTCACAACTACAGAGGACGAGCAGTAACAGCTGGTGAAGACAAGAGGACCCCATGCTCTTTACTAAGGGTACAAATCTTTCACTTGAGCATGCCCTCTGCAAGAGCCCAGGAATCCCAGAAAGGACACTGACATAACTGTAACAGACCTCTGCCTGCTAAGGATTTTTCTTATACCTGCAGTTTTATTGTTGGTGCTCTGTGGTCCTTCGCCTCTATCTTTATGAGTGCAATGGTAATGGTCGGGCTTATGGTAATCTTGTAGGTCTCAGGTTAGCTGAATGTAAGCAAACCCCTTAGTTAGTGTATCTCTACGCCATTTCTACAGGTGAGTGTGAATACTCATATTTTAAATGTTCTTCAACAAATACAGACATTCATGGTGGTTCACTGTGGTAATATTTTGTGATCTAACAAATAAAAGTTTGCCTGAAGATCAGAGTGCACAGCTAGCCCCACTAATTATCCATAGAGGCCAGGAAGTGCTGGCACGAACCTGTAATCCCAGCACTCAGGAGAAAGGCAGATAGATCTTTATTATATAGAGTTCAAGGCCATCCTGGCTACACGAAATTGGTCCAGTCTAAACGAGAAGCAGAGCTCACTCAAAGGTGATCCCAGCACTTGGAGTAGCAACACCTTTAATCCCAGCACTAAGGAGATGGAGACAGGAAGGGATATGGCTGGGCAGAGAGAGGAATATAAGGCGGGAAGAGACAGGAGCTCAGGGCAGTCTGAGCAGCGGTCAGTCTGACACAGCAGTCTGAAGCAGGCAGTGTGAGGAAGCAGTCTGAGGAGCAGCGCAGTCTAAGGCCAGGATCGCCCGTTTGGTCTGAGCACGGGGAGAGGTAAGAACTCTATCGGCTGGCTGATGTACTTCTCTGAGCTTTTAGCTTTCACCCCCTGATAGCTGACTCTGAGTTTTTATTATTCAGATCAATGAAAATTCATACTATAGTTCATATACAAGTCATTTTTAAAAAAACAAAGAGGGAAAAAAAATTTTTTTGAGACAAGGTCTTGCCATGTAGCCCTGGCTAAGTAGATCCGGCAATCCTCCAGCTTCCTCAGTGCTGGAATTACAGATATGTGCCATCTTACCCAACAAAAGTTATGTTCTTGAGGACTTCACATCTTTACAAAGTTAATAGCTATAAAATAAGTCACTCAAGGCAGGCACGGAGGCTCACATCTGTAATCCTAGCACTGTAGAAAGAGGTAGAAGGATTGAGTTCAAAGTCATAGCAAGTTTAAAAACATCCATACTATTTGAGATCGTATTTCACAAATAAAAACATAAGTATGTCTCTGTCTCAGAAAATCAAGGTGAAGTATGGCAGCACATGTAATCCTGTCACCTGGGGTAGAAGAGGCAGGAGGATGAGGAATTCAAGGCCGTCCTTGACTACATAGTGACTTCAAGTACAACCTGAGCTACAGGAGACCCTATCACCCAAAATACTTAATTTTAATGATTAATTTCTTCTATCTGTTTTACTTATAATGACCCAGATCTTTTAATCTATTGATAATTTCCAGTATTACCTTACTGAATTTTTTGCCTTTTTAATGACTTGATTTTAATGACTGTATTTAAATGATTCTTTAAATACAAATCCCTCATATTTAACACATATACTTTATTTCCAAGAATAAGGCAGAAAACAAATCATATTAGGTACACATTTTGTCAGCTGTCTTTAATTTTTGGATTAGAAGTCACTTTATTCTGGAGATGTCCACTCGGGATTATTTGAATGTTTAGTCTGGAAAAGTGAGTGAGGTGGAGAAAGTCTGTGGACAGCAGGGGGCAGCAGAGGGCAAGCATACAGAGAAGCCACAAGCCACTCACCTCCACACAGCAGTTTTCATCCAAGAGGATGTCTCCCTTCTTATCCTTCAGATCCTCACTTACATAGTAGGAGATTATGTTGGGTTTTAATACAAACCACCGCTCAGTCCAGTTTTTCCGTTTGTGGCCTTTTTTCATCATGTAACCCTATGAAAGATTAAAGCTAATGTAGATAGATACGTTTGTTTTTATGTGCACGAACTTGAAGGTCCTTCTTCGATTGTCTTATTTACTCCACTATCTGAAACCTGGTCCTAAATACACACATGTCAATGGTTCTCGACCATGGGAATCATGGCCTGGAGTCTCTGAGAATCTATGAAGGTCAGAGGCATGATCCATAGCCAAATTCACATGATATTTAAGTAAAAAGGTTAACATGTAACTTTAGACATTTCAGAAAGTTTCTGCAAGTGACATACATATAACAGAACTGAATTTTCCTGGACTGCCGTACCTCTTAGGACATTTATTGAAATATTTATAGGTAAACAGAAATGTCTGGGATTTCCTGGCACCAAAAGGAGACATAAAGGTATGTGGACAGAGTCGTATCACATACTTTCTTGTAATACCAAAACCCTATACAAGTTAAGACTTAATTAATGATTATTGATGGGTCCCATCAGAAAGAATAAAAGAACAAAGACAATAACAATTACCAATGGAACAAAGAAAGGGGCTAAGTAAGAAAACCCAAAAGCAGAGTTATTATTTGATATCATGTAAGGTGTTTGAAAGATCTGTATATAGAGCCAGGTACAGAGGTGCACACCTTCAATCCAGCATGCAGATCTGAGGCCGGCCTGGTCTACATGCTGACTTCTAGGCTAGCCAGAGCTTTAATATGTATTTAGTTCCTACATGTATACCGGGCGCTATGCTGAGTGCTGAGAAAACAAATAGTCTGGTAAACACAACTTTGCTCTATGAAAGTGTCTCTTTCTAATGGCAAAGATATTTTCCTAATTCTGTAAAAGCATGAGGGCACTTTTTTAAAAATTTGGAAATTGATTGAACAATCCCTTCAAAAACAGTAACTTCTCAGTTAACTGTACTGAAAAACTGTGCCAGCAACTCTTTAAAATAGGATCCTAGGTTACACATACAGCTCAATCACACAGCACAAATAGAAACTTTATTCTTGTTCTAAGTCATTAAGGAGTATAAGTGATTTACATTACCTATTCAGAAAGGGGGGTGGGAAGAGGAGAAGGGAGGAAGTTATTTCGTTTCAAACATCAAACGCTAAAGATGAAGGAGAGTAGTGTCATGGCCTCTCTTACCTGTTTCAATACATCTAAAATAAGCTCATTGAAGACTTCATTAATAGCCATAGACACCGTCTGATGATCCATGCCCTTGCTAAACTGTCCATTTCCAATTAGCTCAATAAGTTCCCATGCAGAAAGGCCATCTTTATTGTCATCAAAGTTTATTTTGTAATGTTCAAATTGTTCTTGTTGCCAACCTCCTCCCATAGCTTCTGTAAGTTTCTTAAGCAGGTATTCAATCTGTAGGGGGAAAAATAATAATTTCCTTTTTTTAGTTTTCATTTGTTTGTTTTGGGGATTGTCTTTTTGTTTGTTTGGTTGGTTGGTTGATTGGTTTTTGTTTTTTGTTTTTTGAGACAGGGTTTCTTTGTAGCTTTGGCTGTCCTAGAACTCACTCTGTAGACCAGGCTGGCCTCAAACTCAGAGATCCCCCTGCTTCTGCATCCTGAGTGCTGGAACTGAAGGTGTACACCACTATCACCTGGCTAATTATTTTGTATTTTCAACACAGGTATTCATTTGTGTTATTCACACTATTGTGGTCAACTCAGGAAATATTCTTTTGGAGGGGGCAGAAACTGGGTTTTTCTGTATTACAGCTCTGGTTGTCCTGGAGATCAGGCTGGCCTCAAACTTAAGAGATCCACCTGCCTCTGCCTCCTAAGTGCTGGGATTAAAGGTGTGTGCCACCATCGCCAGCAGGAAATATTCTTTATACTTCCAAAAGATTATTTCTTTAATGAAACCCCCATTGCTAGGGAAAGTTGTACACATAAAACACAGATAACTGTTCTCCACTGACCTAGGAAGTAAATCAAAATTTGATACCCACCGCTTGCCCGTTATGCCTGTATGCAAATGGAGCTAGGGAGACCTATAAATACACCATACACAAGCTAATTACTGCCTCCTTGTTACTCTATTTGTATAAATATTTCAATATACCAAGAACATTAAGCTTTTCTTCCTTTTTTTGTTGTTGTTTTACTTTGAAACAGGGTCTCATGTGGTCCAGACTGGCTTCAAACTCACTATGCAGTACTGAAATACTGAGGCGTTTGAAACCAGCACCCAGCTCTGCATATGAATCTCACTGAACATGATGTGTTATATTAAAAACATCTCAAATGCACAAAGTTGTTCCCTAATTTACAGATTTCCTATGTAAATTAATTACAGATCTCCATCCATTAGAACACTGATGATGTTATAAATATGGCTGGATTCCTATAGTAAGCCAGAGGGCTTAATAAATCTTGAAACATCAGACATTATCTGGGACAGTAGCTATGACTGGGGAAGGAGAAAAAGGGAAAAACAAGGCAGTGATGACAAGAGATGTTACAGTATTCTCAAACTACCACTCTTCCCTACCTCCCAATGGCTCCTTTATTCCTAGAGCACATTCATTGTACAGACTGATGGGTTTAATTATGACAATTCCACACATGCACATCATGTACTTGGCTCATATTCATCCCACCTCTTGTCCTCTCTGGTCCTCTCCTCCTCATTAGTGATTTCAGTTGTTGCAATATCCCCCAAACCCACACCAGTATCTAGGTCCTCGCCACTTACATCAAACCAGCAACAAAATGCTGTGGACATTGTCCACGAGACCAATGCTTTTTCACCACGAATTCAACCATTTACAATGGAATGAAAAATATTTTAATCCAACCACAACAGAGCCAGATACGGTTGTATAACAAGGTTTTTGTGTGCTTATCTGTGTGTGTTGGGTCAGGATATGAGACTCTTATTTTCCTATAAGTTCAAGAAGGAAAGAAAATATTTCACTGGGTGTGGTCACACACACCTTTAATTCCAGAACGTGGGAGACTGAGGCAGACAGAGCTCTGTTTCAGGCCAGGCACAGCTGCACAGTGAGACTGTCTCCAAAATACAAAACACAAGGGAGGGGGGAAAGGAGGGGAGGAGAGGGAAAAGGGAGAGGACTTTTTTCCAGATGCTTCTCAAATATGTTCCTCCTCCTCCATCATCTGCTTAGTGCCTCGGCCTCACACTTGGCCTAACACTTGCTCTAACCAGTGCTAACACAGGCCCTGCATCCCCTGCATCCTCTCGTGTCCCTGCTGCACTTAGTGTGCTGTGCTCCATCTCTAGTCCTCACTTGCTTTTCCTCGTGGAAGGGGCTGTGCCCCATCCATCTCTGAATCCCAGGGCTCAGCAGCAAGCACAGCAGGGCTCAACTAACATCTAAAATGAATTAAACTCTGCTCCAATTTCCTCACATGTGAAATGCAATTACAACACCCATTATAGAGAGAGATAAAAGAAGACACACAGAACAGTGTGCACAAAGCTACCCAGCAGGCACACAATCAGGTTGCTTCTCCTCCACACTGGGTGACATTTTATACAGTCACTTAAAACTACATTTGAGAAAGCAGAGAACACAAAGTTAGGCAGACCTGTGGCTTTACCTGCATAAACACCATACAGATTCTCTGGCAAACATTTGCCAAAAAACAGAAAATCTTTAGTTACAAGTAAGACTTGGGATTCACGTCTGTTTCATTCTTTGCACCCCCACTAATGTGATCATAATGTTGTTTACAAAATAATGAAGTGTAACAGGAAAAGAAGGCAAACAAATTTACAATCCCTAAGTACCACAAGTTCAGAAACTGTCACCAGTTCTAAAGACTGAGCTTAATGGCAGACGCTCCCATGGGATAAGATTACCGGAGGTCTTGAAAAGCATGAGAGATGTCAACAAATGTTATGTGCTGAAGAGAAGCACACTGAGGCCTCTCCCTTCTCTTGCTAAGATGTGCCACTGACTGCTTGGACACTCATACCTTTGGAGGGACAGGGAGGAACAGATGATGAAAGAGAGGGGAAAAAAACAAAAGATAACAGGAAAAATGACTAAAGTCAAGAAGAGACTAAAGACAAAACTACAACAAAGTTGAAAAGAAAGAAAGAAAGCAATAAGAGTCGAGTTGGCAGCAGAAGGATCAGGAGTTGGAGACCAGCCTGGACTACCCTGCAGCCATGTAATAAAGGATAGTTCTATATAAATAATGGTTCGAGGTAAAATAGGTAGTGTATTAACATACACAGAAGCTCTAATTCCTCAGGGTGCCAAGAAGGCTCTAGGCTGCTGGTTGTGCCATAGCCCATAAACAGAACAGCCAGACAATAGTGAGGGAAGCACACATGTGTGGCCATGTGTGTGTATAGGATGACAACATATTATAGTGCATGACCATCAGCCTGATCTCTGCCTCGTCTACCACTCTGGATGCAGCCACCTGCACCTTTCAGCTCTGGGCTCCTGTCTTCCCCAGGTGACCTTTGGTTTCCAACTCAGAAAATGAATGTTACTAACAACTCAATTCTCAAAGCAGCCTCCCACGTTAATGTGGAACCTTCCTAGAGGTCCCCCCCAAGCCCTAGGAGACTGACTTTCAGTCCCAACAGCAACAAGCCATTCCTCCCAGCAACTGTGTCTCTTCCTGTTGACTTCGACACAATCATATGCTTACCATAACCAAATAGAAGGACATTTTTATTATGCTGGCCAAAGAGACACATTCTCATGCCCCACTATTCAAGTACACTAAGTAATGAGTCACGTGCTGGGGCTGGTTTACAGTGGCCTGCACCAATTCTAAGGCTCATTCAGTTCAGGAAGCAGCTTGCTTCCTCCTTCCAAGCAGATTTCACCAAAAATAACAAAGAAGAAATTTCGAGCTGAATGGGATTTCTCCAGGCCTTTGGTTTGAATTTTTATTCTGTCAAAAGTTCTCTCTCGTTAAGGGGCAGCTAGGTTTTACTTCGCTTGAAATCTCTTTAAGACGGTTTCAAGTTTGAGTTTTTCACTGCAGCAAAGCAATTCTTCCAAGTGAGTGCATGACAGACACATCCTGTTTTGTTCTTGGTTCTGTGGGAAATGACACTAGTAAAAACTACACTTTACAGGCACACATTTCCAGGAATAAGTATCACCAGAAGAAAATAAGGAACCAACTCAAAGGGAATCACCTTTTATTGACAAATGCGTCTGTCAATAGAAACATCTTTATCATTCGGTATGGGTGATAGGGACTGGCTCAAATGAGTAATACAAATGCATTGTTCACACAACCGACACTGTGATACACTATTAGCTCAAGTAGAGGGGGAAAAAAGAAGAAAAAAACTTGGACTTCGATGGATATGATAGAGAGTATCTGTAACTCAACACTTGGGAGTAGAGCCACAAGTTCAAGGCCAACCTGGGCTTCATCATGAAACTATCTCCAAAAAAAAAAAAAAAAAAAAAAAAAAACAGAGGCCAGGTGGTGGTGCCCACTTCTAATCCCAGCATTCCGGAGGCAGAGGCAGGTGGATCTCTGTGAGTTCAAGGCCAGCCTGGTCTACAGAGCGAGTTCCAGGACAGATAAGGCTACACAGCAAAGCCTTCAGGTCCACCACGAATATTTTAGTGACAGAAAAATCCAAAAGATAGAGGATAAGAGACCCACCCACCTCTAATTCCAACACATGAATAAACCTGGAATTTTGAGTGTGGCTGCAAAAATATCTTCAAAGACCATATTGGAAAGCTGGGCATGGTGGCATATGACTTTAGTGCCTGCACTGAGGAGGCAGAGGCAAGTGGATCTCTAATTTGAGATCAGCCTGGTCTACATAGTGAGTTCCATGATAGCCAGGGCTCTGTAGGAAGACCTTGTCTCAAAAAAAAGTAGTGTGTGCACAGCTTTGGGCAGCAGCCATGTCTGATAAGTGCCTTTTAGGGCGCCATATCCCACTTATCTCTGGATTGTACTGGGCAGTATTCTAAGATGTTGCTTTTTATTTCCCCTTTAACAGTCATACATACTTGATACCTACAGCATTACCATGATTAACACTAACATGCTGTTCCCACTACCACAGGAAACTGCCTTTCCCTTGTTACCAACACTACCTCCTGTTGAATACAGTGGCCCCTTCTTACCACTATCTGATTTTTCTGCAATTTAAAATTCTGATGTGTCTCCTCTTATCTCACAGCCTGCCTAGCTCTGCTTCCTTTACCAAATCGACTTCCTCCTGCTGTTATAGAAACAGCCCCAAGGTTCTCCTTGGCTCTTGAAACTCCTACTATGGTGGCTTCCTCTCTGCCCTAACCCATCCCTGTGGTTTCTCCATGTCTCTCTCCAACCCCAGCCTCTCACAAGCTTTAGCTGTGTATTTTCCACAAGGATAGTCTACCTACAACACCAAACATGCTACAATCCTCATCATGTACCCATTGTTCATCGACTTGTTGTCCAATCTTCTCTACCAAAATGCATGAATACATCTCTTTAGTGAGTATGTGTCACAGCACTATGTCAAATGCTTCACATACGTCAACTTGTTCAGCCTCACAGGGTTCACTGTACAAAACAACTGTCTCCATTTTAAAGTTGGGGTGACCCAAATTGGGAGGCTAATTTGTTACTCTGTGAATAAGTGGTAAAGTCAGTCTATTTCAAGCCCATGCTTTAAACAAAAGCATCAGGCTACCTCTAGTTGCCCAGGACTGAAACTTGCCTGTGCTTCTCCACAACCAGGCACTATTGACATGAATGGACAGGGAACAAGATGACACAAATTTAACCTGCTGGCTATACCCTTATCCAGTATAGACCAGTTAGCTGTGCTCTTCAGAGAACTCTGAGACCCAAAAGTTCAGCCACAGGACTCAACAACATAATCATGGCATCATGAATATAGCTACCTCATACAGGAAATTGTCATCTTGATTTAGAAAGATCCTTGTCTGGTCAAACCTCTCCTGTTCCCCGCTGCCCACACTTTGGAAGTGGGGGGGGGGAGGAGATAATACAGAACAAAACCAGCAGAAGCATTTGCTTTGAGAGGGCTAGGAAACAGCCATCATCCTAGACTTTGAAACAGGAATAGTAGTAGTACCTATTAACATAGTGGGAGAACATTCTGGTTGCTATGTGTTTCCCACAGAGCATTAGCCAGTTCTTCCACAAGGACTGAAAATTATGTTGTCCCTTGTATTGAACAAATGTTCCTTGGGTATCATGAGGATGGACTCATCTACAATCACAGCAGTTCCAAGAGGAAGAGTCTCACTATCCCTGAAAATCTCCAAGGGTGTTACCGATCCCCAAACCCTTAAGCTTTTTTGGATTCAACCTGTTTTTGCTTCTGATCCAAAAAAAAAAAAAAAAAAAAAAAAAAATTACTGCTTCTAATAACAGTACTGAATCAACACAAATGTTTGCAGGCCAGGTACTCAGTGAACTCCCCTTACCTCTTCTGGCACAATAATTAATGGATACTTGTCCTCAGACAAAAAGTTGAAAATGACCCACACTTTGAATGCATCATCCTCTGTAATTAGTAGCGGACTCTTCGTGAGGTTTTTCTTGACACAGAGGGTCCAACACATTCTATTGAATTCAATCTTGTCAAAGTTATCTTGGACCTAAAAAAGAAAGAAGAAAACTTGTGAGCCAGTGCAAAGTAAGGTCGGTCTCACTCTCTCTCTCTCTCTCTCTCTCTCTCTCTCTCTCTCTCTCTCACACACACACACACACACACACACACACACACACACGAATGCAAGCAATAAAATAGGAGAGGCCTCAGCAAGCTTTCTACTAACCAACAACCATATCCCACATATCTGCTCCTGATACTAACACTGTCAGTGGCTCAGCTAAGAAATGATCAGACCTAAGAATGTCAGAACTAAGAATGCCAATCACTATAGGCCACATTCTGATACCCTATTTCACTCCATTTTTATTTATATGGGGAAAAGAAGAAACTCTGTTACAGAAAGCCTGTTTAACTGAAATTCTGAGACAGCTATGCCAATCATTCTTGAATCTCTAAGAGCCAACTGCTGTGCTATGCAATAGAAGGCAGAGATGAAGAAAATGATCTATGTTCTTACACACTTAGTTTATCAGAGAAAACATATGCAAGTAGAAAGCTCTAATATTAGCATGCAATCAATAGTTTCTCATTCCTCAACAAGAGAAACATATAATTGCTATTCCAAAGACAGATACCCAATCAATACTAGCCTGTCTTTCCAAGAAACATAAAGATCTTATGATTTAGTGTGACAGTTACTATAACCAAGACAGGCAGAAGATTTCATGGGAATGCTGAGTAGCTAATCCAACCTGAATGAGGGGCTATGTGATATCTGGACTGAGGTGTGGCTCCATGGTGGATTGCTTATGCAACATGTTTAAGGTCTGGGTTTGATCCCCAATACTGAAAAAAGGAAAAAAGAGTCAAACATCAAGAATGGGGCAAAGCATGTTCTACTTTGTAGAGCAGAAGCTACCAGAGGTGACAGGAACAATAGCCAGTTTAGAGGGAAAGTAGGCAGTCAAATGTGAGGGGACACTACACACTACAAGATGGTCTCAGTTAAGGCTTCCATAAGTGCAATGGACAGATCCACTATGTTCCTTTGAACAAAAAAAGAAAGTTCATTAGGTGAACAATGAGTAACCTCACAGATTCAACAAGAGCCAGAAAAAAGAGGCACTGAACCTGTGCCAGTGCCAAGGTAGGGTAGGAACTTGAACTTCAGGCCAAGACAATGAAAGGAAAAGTCTAGTGAGGACCCCACAGCCATTGTAACATGAAGACAGAACCATTGCACCTGTCCGGGGGCCTCACTGCAGTGTATCTGTCTCACTGAGGCCAGGTCACATTTTCATGTTCTGGAGTCACGGAGCAGGGAAAATGAGGACCTGTTATTTCTCTGTCTCCTTGTAAGACAGGTCTTGTTCCCCACCAACAAACACCCTGGGAAATTTTTCCCAGAAGAGTTCAAAGACTGGTCAGATTAATATTGGCAAATGCCCACTGCACAGGACACAAGGAAAACTGAGGCTATAGAGCTGAAAACCAGATCAGGAAGAGGCTGGTCATTCGAGGTAAGGAGTCGGGACTTCATCTGTACTGACAGCTGAAGGCTCCATATGATCCTCCTCTTCTTCTTTCTCTTCTTCTTCCTCCTCCTCCTTCCCCTTCTTTTCAAGACAGGTTTCTCTGTAACTTGGGATCCTGTCCTGGAACTTGCTTTATAGACCAGGCAGGCCTTGAACTCAGAGAACTGCCTGCCTCTGCTTCCCAAGTGCTGGGATTAAAGGCATGCACCACCACAGCCTGGCCTGTAATCTTCATTCGTTTTTTGTTTTGTTTGTTTGTTTGGTTGGTTGGTTGGTTGTTCAAGACAGGGTTTTTCTGTGACTCAGACTCAAAGAGATCCCCCTGCCTCTGTCTCCCAATGCCTCCCAAGTGCAAGCGCTAGGGTTTTTAAAGCCATATTCTAGGACAATATGGGAGGCACCATGGAGGAGCTGGCGAGCAGGATAACAGGAGCAAAGCATGTATTTTTATTTTGGAAAAGTGTCATGTGTTGTGCACAATTTGAAGAAGTCCCTGCAGGCCAGGGAGATGGTCTCTTCATCTCCAGCCAGAGCCTGTGGCTGGCAAACCAGACTCTGGGAAGCAGAGAGATGCTCTCTATACTCTGCCATTAGTCCCAGCTTGTTCTGCTATCACTCCCCACATTTCACTGCATGTGGCAGCAAGTGTCCCTGCTTTACTTAATTATTTATTTAGTCCCTACACCATTTACTGAACATTTATTTGTATGTGAAGTAAGGGGATATCTTTCAGGAGCCAATCCTTTCCTTCTACCATGTGGATTCTGGGGACCAAACTCAAGTTGTATAGACTTGTGGCAAGCAGATTTACCGGATCAGTCATCTCAACACTGCCTGCCCCCTTAGGTGCCAGGCGGGTGGATTACTGTGGAGTTCAAGGCCAGCATGGTCTACAGAGCACACTCCAGAACAGGCTCCAAAGCTACAGGGAAACCCTGTCTCAACAAAGGGAAAAAAAAAAATCAACCAAACAAAAAAATATTAGACATGCATTTGAACTTGTACATCACCCCTACCCCTAACTTAGACCTTAGACCTCATACTGGTTTTGTAAGTTAAGTATCATTCCTGCTGTATAGACCAGAAAACAGGTTTGGAAAACAATGAGATGCTCTACTCAAGTTCACATGGCTGGTACACATCAAAACTAAAGCTTAAAGGCCAACTCTTTCCACTATGTCAAACCGCTTGCAAAACTCAGTAGATGGAGGTCCCCTGTGTAATGCAACTCTACCCACATCGTGAAAAACAAAAAAAACAGAAAAACATTAAGGGAAAAACAGGCCATATGGGAAATAATGTGCACAAAAGCGTGTATTCCTGCTCTGAGGAAGAAGTGATTCCATGAGTATGTGTGAATCACAGGGCTCCCCCAAGAGTGCCTTAAAACATGACATTTACTTTCCTTTCTTTTTTTGTTTTTTAAACTTAACTTCTTTATGGAAGTTTCACATCATGCACCCCAATTCTGGGAATTCACTGTTCTAAGTGAACAAAGGTCAAATCATAAGGACTTACAATTAAAATATATATACACTACACAGGCCAGTTTAGTATTTAGTAGAAAAGATGGCATTCAAAGCAGATCTTAAAGTATGCTGAAGGCTATCTTTTAGATGGCTCAGTGGGTAAAGGCATTCATTTACTGCTAAGTCTAATGACTTGAGTTTGATACCTGGATTCCACACAGTGGGAAGAGAAAATTGACTCCCATTAAGTGGTCCTCTGACTGTCTGTCTGTCTGTCTGTCTGTCTGTCTTCTCTCTCTCTCTTTCTCTCTCTCTCTCTCTCTCACCCCCACCCACACACACACATTATGGCATGTGCATGTGTACACACTAAATAAATGTTTGTTTGTTTTAAATCAGGAGCATTGACAAAGACAAGAAAAGGCATCCCAAAGGCAGAGAGTAGCCAACTTGGGTTGACCAGCAGGAAGATGGCAGATCAAATGTCAGAGGGCAAATTGTGCTACATCTAAGCACAAGAGGAAACAAAGGTTTTAAAGGTAGGACCTGTCTCAGTGTTTGTGGACAGCACATTAAACACACTGACATTATGTAAGAGGGTTTTCAGTAACTAGAAGGTAGGGAGATCAGAAGACAGCAGCAGCAACAAGGGAATGATGTTGGTGAGAATGCATGAGTACCAAACAGGTGCACAAAACTCCCTTGTTTTGTGAAGGAAGGGAGGTGTTCAGCTGTGGGCATCAAGTTGATATTATAGGACTATTTAGAGTATCAAAAACCAAAGAAGGGGAAATAAAACCTACAAGAGGCAGACTTGTGAGTCAACAACAGTTAGATAATGACACAATGATAACCACAGACAGAGAACATAAAGCAAGAATAAATGGAATCAGAAAAAGAACTCAAATTGGGCGCACACCTGTGATTACAGCACTTAGAAATTGAGGCAGGAGGATCATGAGTTCAAAGTCATTCTCATCTACTTGGTGAGTTCAAGGCCATCCTGAATTAAGACCCAAACCAAAAACCAGAAGTTGGCCACGTGTGGTCCACACCTGCAATCCCAGAACTTGGGGGGGGCTTAAGCAGGAGGAAACGATGAATTTGAGGCCAACATGAACTGCATAGTGAAACCTTGTCAGGAAAAATAATCATACATCATATTCAAAGGTTAGAAACTGAAAGCCTTTCCTCAAAGAGGAGGAACAAGACAAAGACACCAACAATCCTTGTTACTCCTTGATATAACACTAGAAGTACTGCCAAAGGATTGAGGCAAGGAAAATAAATAAGACAAAGTACCTACGTGTAGATGATCAAATCTAATATACAGTAAACAGTAAGGTTTTTAGAAATTAACTTTCAAGAAGGTGAAAGATTTGCAATGAAAACTGTCGTGTAAAGCAATGCTGAAAAAAAAATGTAAAAGATATAAACAAACAGGACAGCATCTCATCTATGTTCATGGATCAGACAACTTAAGATGTTATACCTACAGTAATCCACAGATTCTATGAAATTCCTACCAAAATGCCAATATGTTTTCTTTCAGAACTAGACCCAGGAAAAATGCAAACATTCATATGGACTCTCAAGGGCTCCAAATAGTCAAAACAACTTACAAAAGAAAGAGAAGCCAAAGCTGGAGGCCTCACATTTCTTAACCTCAAAATACATTACAAAGCTAAATTAATTAAAGTATTATACTCTGACATGGAGACAGACAGGACAGAATTGAGTCCTTAAGTATATAATTACATGATCTTCAATAAAGGGCCAAAAATACACAAGGAAAGGATAATTTCTTCAGTAAGTAGTGTTTCGAAGACTGGATTTCAACACAAAATGTAATGCTCTTTCTTTACCTAACACTATATACAAAAATTAACTCAAAATGTTTGAGCTACAGCTCAGTGGACAATCCCTGAGTTAGATCCTCAACACCACCTAACTGGACAAGATAGTCCATAACTGTCATCCCAGTACTTGTGTGGTGACAGCAGGAGGATCAGCATCTCAAGACCACTGTAGCTACAGAG